TATAAATATAAATATATGCAATATACATATATCATAAAAGAGATGAATCTTATTAATTACATTTACAAAATTACTTCATTCTGTTATCGAAGTGTTGATGATAATAAAAATGAAGTAAATATTTTTGTATGATGTCATTAAAATATTTAAATTAATTAAAACATTAAACACAAAGTTATTATTTAACTCGCTTCCTCGCTTGTTATAAACATACTTATTTTAAAAAAGAAAAACGTTTATGCAACTAAATCTAAGTCAATTTGAATGAAATTTAGCAATAATAGTTCTATCAAGACTATGTTGGAAAGATATCAGGTCACTTCGCCGTCTGCCACTTGTTTGTAAGACACTTGTATGTTACCACTTGGCCGACATTTCATTGTCCGCGAAATTTTATTGTCTGACGTTTCATCTTTCGCGACATTTCATCATCCGACAGTTGCAAACACACCTGTGGAACTATATAATTGTAGATCTCGTTTTATATTCAAATAGACACAACAGACAGAACATCGCAGATTGAGAAGTATTAACAAAAATATTACGAGACAAGCAAACATACTGAACGATAAAATATAGCGGACAATGAAATGTCGCAGACGATGAAATATTGGAACGGTAAAATGTCGATGGTGAAGTGTATTACAAACAGGACGAAGCAGAGCGGTGAAGTGTCCATAGACCATTAAAAACATTCAATGTATACAACAATATGTGGTAATTATGCAGTTTAAGGACGACCTCACATATTTCAATGGCCTTGATATACATACATATTATCAAAGACACAATCTTGAGTAACTTCCAAACATTTTTAGCCGTTGTTTATTAAAAAGTTATTAACAAAATAAGTTTAATGAATAGAACATAATTTTCTAATATCATATACATTTAAGAAGGAATATTGTGTATGTGAAGCATTATTCGAGATAAATAACTCTTCGGAGATGTAAGGAAAGAAATCCGCAGCAAAATGTATATTCTACAAACACACATAATAACGTGCGACGTCTAAAATTTTTTGAAAGCTTTTGAGGACTGTGCCCTTGATAATATAAATATAAATCAAGGCCATAGAAATTTGTAAGATCGTCCTTAAAGTGCATAAGTAGGACTTATCCAGATGGATTTGCATAATCACATAAACATATGGGTAAATATAGCGAATAGGGGACCCAGCCCCAATGACCTTGACCTTGACATATGTTATCAAGAACATAATTCTGAGTAACTTTCTCTTCTAATTTAATCGTCACTCGTTGCTTATTAAAAAGTTATTAACAAAAAATTTTGAAATATACCAAAGTACATGCACGGACAGGAAGCACGCGCGCGCGCGCGCACGCACACACACGGT